TAATATGCTTTACGTTGATATATCCAGGTTTTTAAATAACGTTCTAGTAGAGTTGAAAAATAACAATTGAATGTTCGAAAACGTGAGCTAAGGTAAATTTCAAGGGGGGGAGCTAGAAATAAATCAATTGGAACTCGCTTTGTAAAATAATATTAATATTAATTAAAATTATTATCATTCAGTAAATAGTCAAAACCTGGATATATCAACGTAAAGCATATTACGTGAAAAAGTTTTTGTGAAATTTGACAAGTTGTAGGTATTTTTTTGTAACTTCAGTAGAACGTGCAATCATGACCAAAATTTTAAATTTTGTAATTTTGACATGTTCCAACTGATATTGGCTAACATTTTATATCATCCAGATTATTTCAAATAGAAGTATCTTACAGAAAATTTAGCGTTCTTTCAAATGGTGTAATTGGATTTGTTGTAGTCTCAACATTTTGGAAGTTGTATGGGATTTTATGTGGTAAGGTAGTGAAAAGTTGAAAAACCTAAATTGACGAATATTTTCAAAATAGAGAACTTTCCGAAAATTTTCTCCCGGGAATTTTTTGCTCCAAAGGAAGAGTAGAATCGATTCCCTGAGTTTCGTCAGAAGGAACTGGGACACCCTGTATAGTCGACGGTTGCCGTCTTATACTGCTGAACTTTCTCATATAACATAAATAACAAATAATAAGGAAAACTTTTTCCTTGAGAATTGCTCTTAAAGGCTATTTCATAGACAACTGCGTTAAAAGTTAAACTTGTCAACAGTTTCAATTAGAGTTTCTGTGATAGGTCAAGAATAGTAAAAAAATATTGTCAGTAAATTTTAAAATATTGTAATTTGGTCGGTTTGTTCATGAGTTAAATTTCGCCTATTGCGCATCCCGGTTTGAATTTGGTTTTAGCATTTATAAAGGTCAAATATTCTTTGTAGTCGAGGATATGGAGTGCAGTCAAATAGTACTTCTTTCTACTTGGCTTTCCACGACTGAGGATGGAAAATATTCTTACTTCGTGGTTTTAAAAGCACAAGTTTTAAAAAAAGTAGCGTTGTCGGAAAAATTCATGGCGTGAAGTCAGGGTATAAGCAGGGAGAGGCAAGACGCTGACTGCATTCCTGGGTGTTCTGCCCATTTCAAGACGAGCGAGTGTCTAGTTGTTGTACCCCGTTTAATTGTATTTTTCTTTTTATCATCCTAGTTTTCAAAGTTTGTCCGATTCACACAAATACCCGTTGACCGGTGAGGACTATAAATAGAGAGATGTCAACGTCGTAATAATATAATACATACGGGCCAATTTCTCATCTTTATATTTAAGAGTACTTCTAGTCCAAAAACAACGCCGTTGACGGAAAAGAACTTATAGGCATGATGTCATGGTTATAAGCAGGGAGAGGCAAGATGCTGAGTGCATTCCTGGTGTTCTGCCTATTTCACGACGAACGATGTGCAGTAGTATCTGTCTAGTTTTATCCCGTTTAATTGTATTTTACATTTTTATCATCCTAGTTTTCAAAGTTTGTCCGATTCACACAAATACCCGTTGACCGGTGAGGACTATAAATGGAGAGAAATCAATAATATCCTTATTATATTATTAATATATTACAAACAGGCCAATTTCTCATCTTTATATTTAAGAGTACTTCTAGTCAGGGTTATAAGCAGGGAGAACCACGACGCTAATTCATTCCTTACTGACTTCTTTTCCGGTCAAGACGAACGATGTGCATAGTCTTTCAATCAATTAATTATTCTTTCTAAGGTCTTAGTTGAGATAAAAAAGTCAGTGTTTTGAATCCAATGAGTTGGAAAGAATCCAATCTGATTACACGACATTTGAAGATGGCAAAAAGAGGAAAAATTCGAACGGTTTTAGGTGTCTGAGAGGATCGAAGTCACGATAGCTCAAATGGTAGAGCAGTGGTTCGAATCCCGCTCGTGACACTTGACTTTTTTATCAACCAAGACCTTAGAAAGAATAATTAATTGATTGAAAGAAATAACTTAGTCAATTGACTACGAAAACGTAAATGGATGTGCATAGTGTTTATTTTGTTTGCACTATTCGTCTTTTTCTCAGTACAATATTCATCTTTGAAGTTAAGGATGAAGTGTAATGCAATCAAATTAAGTTCTTTTCTATTACCTGTTTTTCCATGATTGTAAATGGATAATGTTTTTATTTCTTATCTTTGAAGGCTTAAAAAAATTACAGTAGCTGGAAAAGATCATGATCGCATGTTGTCCGGGATATAAGCAGGGAGAGGATAGACGCTGACTCATTCCTGCCAGTTATGCCT